ATTATCATCATTGATATTATATGTCTTTCATATTTATTTCAATTTTAGGTTTGGATTTCAATTTCAATTTTATTACTTTATGATGTTAATATCTAAAATAGAGAGAAAAGAGAGCTAATATGTGAGTAATTACTTAAAATCTGCATTCTACTTCTGCACAACAAAACTATTCCTTGAACTCTTTTACCATTCACAATATACTCTAATTAAACTCAATTACACATTGGTATTAATTTAAAAATATTCTTAAACAATTGATGCATTAAGTGTAAATATAAGTATGAAACTTGCAAAATTGATTCATTATAGAAATTTCTAAGAGAATGTATCTCTGCAAGTGATTGAATCAAAATCTAAAGAAAAAAATAATTTTTTTGATTAGAGAAACCTAAAACTCTAAATAATTTAGTGATACATGTATTCTAAACAGATACATGAGATACTCTAATGAAACCTGATTACACATGGGTATTAATCCAAGGATGTAGTTGAACAATTGACACATTAAGTATAAGCATGAGTATAGAACTTACTTGAAATCTCCAAGTAGAGTACTTCTCCACAAGTGATCAAAATGAATATCTGCTGTAGGAATCCAAGATCTAGAAAAATAAAATTACACTAAATATAAAATCAAGAATATCCTTAAATAATTGACGTATTAAGTTAAACATAAGTATGAAAATTACTTGACAATTAGACCATAAAAATCTTCTCAGTAGAGTGCTTCTCCAATAAGTGTTTATTTCAAAAATAAGTATATGACATTACTGAGATTTGGAAATTTCAGAATGTAAATAAAACCTCATCAGAATATGGGATTAACATTTTATACCAAAGTTTCAACTAAACAAGTATAAACTTCTCAGTTTTAAATGTTCTTTTTAGGATATGACAAAGTCAGAACTGGATAATTAAGTTTGAAAGTAGAATTTTCATTGAAGATGCTCTATTAACAAGTGATTGATCATAGCGAATATAAAACCTTTAATAAAATTTCAAGATCTAGAAAATAAAAATAATTTTTTATTAATTAGAAAAACCTGAAACTTTAAATAATTCAGTGACATATGTGTTCTAACAAGTCCATATTACACATGGGTATTAATCTAAGAATGTCTTTGAACAATTGACACATTAGGTGTAAGCATGAGTATGAAACTTGACTTTATAATTTAAGTTCATTATTATCACAGAAAACTTTCTTTAGTAATAATTTGAAAATATAATTGTCAATGTTATGGTTAAAAAAGCATTTTAATGTATTTAATGATGTAAAATATACTAGCAGAAATATATTTTTTGTTTGTTTAAAGTGTAACAAGCAAGTGTTATGATATGATAATGAAAGTACGTTCTACTTATTTTTAATTTTGTATTAAAACAAAATTTGGAAGAAATAGTTGAAGTTGTTTCATTTTGTGAAATGTTTTTTTCAAAAGTATATATTGTGTAAATATTTTTATTAGAAAGATAAACAAGTATATATAAATATATATTCAGCATGCACAGTGTAGTCATAAAGATCATACTGCTTTTAGAAATATTAACTTTGTTAAGTGAAAGAACTCAAACTTTTTAAACATATAATACTCACAATTATATCTAAAGACTTATTATTTGAATTGTGATTTTATATTAATAATTTAAACTGACTGATATAAAGAAAAATAATAAATTTATAATTGTTAATCATGTGATTTAGTAATCAAGTTGATAAATCTTGTTTATTTTATCGAACTATAAATTTCATTTGCAAAAATTAGTAAATTTTAATTAGAATTTAACATCAAACATTTTACCATTAATATTTATGTATAGTAAATTAATCAAAACCATGAATCATTAATAAATTTTTATGATTAATAATATTTTAATTTATTTTAAAAATACAATAAAATTGCAAACTTGCTAAATTAATATTTTATGTTACCTAGTAGTTATACTTTTTATTATATAAAACGATTTTGATTATTATCCTCTTGAACAATTTCTAGTTCATGATGAAAAAAGTTATTTCAAACAATAAAGAAATCATTCAAGAGAATAATGATGAAATCATGTATTTCTGATTAATAAAACAAAGAAAGAAAATCCTTTTTATTACTAAGTAACTCAACTCGAAAGATAAAACTTGAGAAAAAAGAATGATAAATTAAAATGCAAAAAACTATATATTTAATTACGAGAAAATAAAATTAAAATTTTTTAAAAAAAATTAAAATTAAAAAAAAATACATATACAGCATATATCTGAACGATCTAAGAAAAAAGGAACTAAATTATTAAAAACGAATAATTCTTTAAAAACAATTGAAAATAAAAATTATACAGTTTAAAGAGAAAGTTCAAAAAATTAAAAATTTAAAAATGAGATTAAAAAAAAAATTCACAAAAAAAAGAGTATTGCGAAAATCTATAACTAAAGTTTTAAAAAAAAAAGAATGCTAAATTGCTATACCAATAAAGGATCTTAATATATTATTTTAGATTTTTTTATTTTTTTAATATTTTTTTATTTTTTTTTTATCATTTTTTAACCTCATATAATGAGAAATCGTGATTAATAAAATCGATTCTAATTTGAATTGTTTTTATTTCTAAAAATAAGAAATACTAATATTCTTTTATTAACATACTTTTACCTGTTAATTCTGTCTGAAGCTTTTTTCTTTATCATCATTTGATTTTCTGACATTTTTATTGAACATCTAATACATCTAATACTTTGTATAGAAGTAATTTAAAATAAAATTTATAAATCATCATTCTTAATAAATTAACAATAAGAATTCAGAAAACAAATATTTTTAAAAATTTTTTTATTTAGAAAATCTATTTTAGGAACTGGTGAATAAACCATAGTTTATCAGCTAACCAAATATTAACTGATCTTTAATTAATGGTTAACTAACTTTAGCTGATTAGCTGAAATTTATTTAACTGGTTTAAATTTTTAATAACAGTTTTCAATAGAGTAGGTAGAAAGAGGATAGATAAAATATAAATAATTTTTTAATGAGTTTTGGATTAACTTTTTTCTTTAAGATTTTGAAACCTTAATGCAACGCAGTACTTAAAACTAATAACTTTAGTGAATAAAATATTTTCTAAGCAAAAAAGATTACTTTTCTAGTAACTACTTTATTAAATAATAAAAAATAAAAATAAATAAAAAATAAATATTACGGAATTCTCATTATATATTATTTTTGGAAGTTAAACAATGAATTGACAAGAATTTATTATCATGGAATTTTGATTCCATAATTTTGTATATAATTTTTGGAAATTAAAACAATGAGTAATTATTATCTTGGAATTCTAACTTCATAGTTATGATAAAGAAAATTAAAAAAGAGAAAGTCATGTGACTAATTTAATTTACGTGTAAATATCACTGTATTTACCTAATGTTAAATTTATAAAAATATTTTGACTATTATCATATCTCAATCTGATCATCAAATTGATATTATCAATGAAGTGAAATGATTTAAAGTTTTTCTTCTATTCATTCGCATTCATCAAATACAATTGAAATTCACAAAATAACTAAATTATCAATATCATCAATTTTAACGTATATGTTAATGTATAAATAAGAAATCAAATTTTTTGAGTTATGGAATATTGTTAGAGCAAATAATTCACTCAATAAAATATTCAGCATAACTGTAAATGAGAATATTAGTGACTTTAAAGTATCTGATAAAAAGGATATGATATATAAAGTTTCAAATGATACTAAAGGTAAGGCTTTATTTATCATTTTTAAATAATAATATAAATTTTTGAATGCTGATTATTTATCTTATTTTTAGTAAAATTATACGATTTGGAAAATTAAAAAGAAATAACAAATAACATTTATAACTGATTTGAATACAACTATACATATTTTTTTAAGGATAAAGATTTTGTATTATTTAATACTCCTCAAGTTATTAAATGTGCATCATTAAATATGAAGCAAACTCGACCTAAAGTTATTTATAAATTCAAGGAAGAAATCAATTATGACAGTATTATAAACAATAAGATGTGGTTGATATCATATGATTCTATATTTCTAATAGACTTAATTACTTTTCAATTCCAGATGGTTCCTCTTTTTGTAAGTATAACTTTTTTCTTATGATTATTATATAAAAATAAATTGATAATAATGTTCAATTCATCATTATAAAAAGGAAATGAACCTAAATACTAAACAAATAGACTTTAAATTTTCTGGAAATTTAATTTTAATGAAAGTCAATGATACATATCATATTTATTTCAACAATGTTCCAGTTGAAAAAATTGTGAATACAGGTATGATTTTATATCACCTTTAGTATGCTTCTGATCTCTTATAATATTATTATTTTATTTATATTTTGATTAAATGCTTGACAATTTGATTTTTTTGAAAATAATAATGAACTTATGATTACATTATCAAGTGTTAACATTATCAATATTTACTATTAGAAATCAAATTTAGAAAAATCAATTATTAAGTTCAGTGAATTATTTGGATCTGAAGATCAATTTAAACTTATTAAATTAAAAAAAAAGGCCTTTGGAATTTGTAATGAAGAACTTTAGATTTTTGATATTTCAGACGATTTGAAAAATCACAAAGTTAATGATAATATGAATAATTCAATTAATATCAAAAATAATGAAAATATAAACTTATTTAACAAAAATCTTTTGATAGATTTAAATCAAAGTTTTAATATTCCAATATAAGTTGAGAGTGATTTTTTTGAAAATTATCTTATCTTATATTTAATAAATCATGATACAATTAGATATAGCTTTGTATCAATTGAAGGAAATTAAGATACAATAGTTTTTAAAAGTTGTGATTGAAAATGAAGAAATTTTAAATAGTTTTAATCATATTGAATTTAGAAAATGAAAACATCAGATAATTAATAATTCATGTATTGTATATAATGAGAAAGTATTATTTATTTATACCTTTAATTTAAGATCTAAAGAATCAAATGCATAATTATGATCTTAAATTTTTAAAATATGCAATTAAGCATTATAATAATTACATATTGGATTATTCAGACATTGCTGAAATTGTTAATCTATCTGAAAATAATGTAAATAAACTTAAATTGTTTAGAAATTCAATTGAACAAAATCAGATTAACCAACCATTTGGTAATGATGAATTAAAAAAGCAATAGATTAATTATCTATTAAACTCAAAGTATTATTTCATTTTATATAGAGAAAAATTATTTAAATCAGCAATTGAACAAAATAATATAGATTTATTAGGAAAGGTTTTTAACAAAACTATTGAAACTTTTAAAGAAGACTCATAAAGCAATATTTATATACTATTCCATACTTAAATTAAATTACAATATTCTGATTTTATTTCAGATGCTATAATGAAATGTCATTTATTACCCTTTTTTCAAATCCAAAGATTAATTATACTAACTTTGTCTTTAACCATCTTCATTCTTATATCCAAGAATCAAAAATTATTAAAATTCCCATAAATATTTTTTATCCCTGATTTATTTTTTTGAAGAATTTCTAATTTCAATTATATTTATCCCATTCATTTTATTTTATTTTATCCTTATTATTTTAGGATTTTATTTTTATCATATTATTAGTTGTGATAATATTTTTGTAGAAATATTAATAATTTTTAATATAACTCCTTTATTAATGCTATTAGATTTACAATATATTAGTTTTATCATACAAATAATATTAGTTGTAGTTTTTTTATTTAAGCAAATCATTAATTATTCTATAATTAGAGAGGTATTAGGCTTAGTTATAACTATATTAGTTATAATTTTCATAATAGTATGTATAATCTGAGCGAAGCAAAATATACTTATGAATTTATTGATAATCCTACACCCTTGTTATATTTCATATTCTCTAAGTTTAAGTGGCTTAGTGAAATTATTAAACCACAAACTAGTCCATTTATTGGAACATATGATATTGAATTTTATAAATCATGGAATGGCAAATCTTTAATTAATTTTAAATGAATAAAATTCAGAAAATATTATTATGCAGTTATATGATTATTATATTTTAGTTTTCTTAATTGCTTTGCACTTTATTCAATAACTTCTGATTCTTATTGGTCATGGTTATCTCTCATATTGGGTTTATATCATCTTTTATTTGTGATTCGTCAATTTTTTTAGGATCCATTAAAATAGTTGCTAAATATTTAGAATAGGTTTGGTATGTTTGTTTATTGATTGAATATTATAACTATTGTTTTTAACATAAACTTTTATCAGATTTAGTTATTTATTTATCATCTACAATTATAACAATCTGTTAGATCATGAATAAAGATGATGCATCTAATCCTTAGTTTTAATTATATGTCTTATACTTGATATTAAATTTATACTTTTATTTCAAGTATTTGAATCATTTGGGATTTATTTTACTATTATAAATAGTGTTAGCCGCAGAATTAGTTCATTAATTATAATTTTTTTTCTTATTATTTTTAGTTTTGCACATGCTTTTATGAATTTATTAAAACTAAAATAACCTTTTTCTCTGCTCTATAAAAAAAAAAATATTCAGAATTTAACAGGTAAATGTATTAAAATAATAATATATAAATTTCAAACATTTCCATTGTTTAGAATATGTTTTAAATCTTGGTGGTTTCTGGACATTCATTGTCTAGAAAATGTCATTGTCCAGAATTTTAATGTTCGATTTTTTTAGAATGCAAAATTGAACATTTTTCAGATATTTTTCAGATAATTTCCAGATATAATCCTATTTTTCAGACATTTTCCAGACATTTTTTAGATATAATTATATTTTCTGAACATATTCCATTTTTCTGAACATTTTTAGACATTTTCACTATTCATAATATCAAATTTATAACTTAATAATTTATTAATATTTAATTTAAATTTATTTTAATTTAAATTTATTTATTTATTAAATAAATATAAATAATGATAATAAAATAAATAAAATACAAATATTTTATAATAAAAAAAAGTATTATTTAATATAATATAAAATATAAAAAGAAAAATGATAATGATAATAATATTTAAAAAATAGTTAAGTAATATAAACAAAATAATAAAGTTAATAATAATATTTAAAAAAAATAAAAATTAAGTTAATAATATTAATAAAAATATAAAATAATATTAGTAATATTAATAATATTTAAAAAAAGAAAAAAAGAAAATAGATAAAATTAATAATATAAAAGAAAGAAATAAATATAGTTAGTATAATAATACTATCGTATTTTAAAAATAATAAAACTATTATCCTTAAGAAATTATAACACTATCATACTTAGGAATAGTAAAACTATCATTCTTTAGGTATAATAAAACTATCGTACCTAAGAAATGATAATATCATCATTCATTAAATACAAAAAAACTATCATTTCTTAGAAATGATAAAATCATCATTCTTTAGATATAATAAAACTATTATACTTAAAGAATAATAATACCATCATTTCTTAGGTATGATAAAATAATCGTTTCTTAGAAATGATAAATGCATCGTATCTTAAGAATGATAATACTATCATTTCTTAAATATGATAATACCATTATCTCTAAAGAATAATAAAACAATTGTTCTTAAGAAATAATAAAATCATTGTTCCTTAAATACGATAATACAATCATTCTTAAAGAATGATAAAACAATCATCTCTAAAGAATGATAATATCATCATCCTTAAGGAATAATAAAACTATAATACCTTAGATACGATAATATTGTTATTCCTAAGAAATGATAATACCTATCATATTTAAAGAATAATATAATGATTCCAATCAGATGTTAATCAATTATAAATGAGATAAATTAAATTTTGATATATATCAATCAGCTATAAGTATGTCAATTAGCTATAAATAAGATAGGTCAAATTTTGGCAGATTCTTGGCTGATTTCTGATATATGGGTTGATTGCTAGGAAAATCAGATTCCGGAAATTTTTTAGCAAAATTGAGATTTTTATTGCATTTTAGTTTTTGATATTATTAGATTAAAATGTATTAAGCTTTTAATTTTAGTTAAAAATTTCTCAGTACCTGATTTTCCTAGAAATATTTCCATATATTATTATAATTAATGAACTTGTGATATTCTATGCTATATTTTTTAAATATTTTTTTAAATAATATAAAGTGAGATATTGAAAGAATTAGATATATATTACTAAAAATAAGATTAGTAATATCTACTAAAGGTTTAAATAATAATATTAATTCTTTCAATATTTTGAATTAAATAATAATTTTTTTAAAAGTTAATATCAGAATAAATGGTTTTATTAAAATCTAAAACTCAATATATCAAATTTAATATTTGAACTGACCAGACCTTTGTTATAAGAAAATTCATTATCATTATCTCTTAAACTATAGAATTTCATAAATAAATTTGCTATAAATTCTTTTTTGATTTACTTTTATAAAAAATTAAAAAATTTTTTTAAGTTAATTTTATAAATATATAGATATTTTGAAGTATAAAGTGAAAAATTACCAAAAAATTTTTTTTTGAGTTAATGTTAAATTTGGATTTATTTTACTAAAAAAATAAGATTTAATTTATAAAATAAAAAAACATTTTTTTAGTAATTTCCTTCCTTTCTACTGCAAAGTATCTATATATAATATTATAATAATTTTATTTTTTAATTATATAATAAATAATTTAAGATTACTTATAAGTTAAATATTTGTAATTTTTAAAAAATTTTTTAATTAAAAAATTTTATTATTGACCTTTAACAATTTTATTAATATTTTATTTTTAATAATATTAATTATAATAGAATATTATTATAAAAAATAATTTTAATTATTACAATTTTTATAATTTATTAAGAAATTTTATGATTTTTATTAATAATAAAGTGATTTAATTAGTTTACAAACATTAAATTTTAAGAAAATTTTAAAAATTAAATTATTTAAAAAACTTCTTAATAAACTTAAAATTTTTTTAATAAAGTTGATATAATATTGTCACTGTGAAATTCTTCAACTTAAGGTGGTCACGTTATCAAATCTTTACCTGAAATTTCTAACTATGATTTACTGCAGTCAAGACGTTAAGATCTGCCTAACTCTTAACTCTACTAAATTTACACATTAGACTTAAACAAATCTATCAAGTATGAAGACTTGAAAGACGAGATTATGAACAATTTTAATTAAAAAATTCAGATTATGAACTCAATTACAAATAATATGTAAGAATTATGTTAGACTATATGAAGACACAAAGAGGTAGAAAGATATAAATTTTGAATTGATTCCTTTATTAATATTGAAACTTGTATTTGCAAAAGAGTTAATTTATAATATAAGCAAAAAGTCTATCTATTTATACAAAATTTCTTTTGTCACAGCTAACTATTTATTATGCTATAAACTAACTAATTTAGCAAAAATAAAATATAAGTAAAATAAATACATTGAGAATAATAAAAATATGTAAAATAATAAAAATATAAAATAAAATAAAAATAACAATAAAACTTAGAATATTAAAAATAAGTATAACGCTAAATATTCTTAGATTTCATTTAATTTGTAAAATTAGAATTATCATCAGTATTTAAAAGATCTTTAGAATTATGTAGATCTTCTGTATTTTCAGAATTCATAGAATTCTCAGTATTTTTAGAATTTTGAATTAAGAGATTGTTATACTGCGTCATCCACATGACTTCATTATAATTGGCCAATTGCTCTGTTAATAATATATACTAAACTATATTTTTATATAATAATTATATTTTTAATATTAATATTTTATATCTTATACTTATTTTATATCTGTAGACAAATTTTTCTAAAGAAATAATAAATTATTTAATATATATAAGAATAATTCGTTATAATAAAATATTATTTAATCAAACTAATAAGAGTAGTCTATATAATTATATAATAGTAAGTAGTTTTTTCACTTTTCAATTTTTAATTCCAGAATTTTTTTAATAATCACTTTTATTTTTTATTAATTTTAATTTTTTTAATAATAACAGTTTGTGTTATAGCATTATTAGTATTTAAAATTATAGTGCATAATAATCAAATTTAAAAAAAAATACTTTTTATCATTAGATAATTAGAAATATTTATTATTTTATATATAAGATTTAGGAATATGTATATTAATCCTTCATTATTTTTATTAAAAATTAATATAATAATAAAATATAATATATAAAAAGATCCTTTTAAAATCAAATTTAACAATATTTTTTTTTGCAATACTATTAGCACTATAAAAATAGATTATTATCATTTTT